ACTATGGTTCGGGGATGAGAAGCCTCACATGAGAAGTTTCTTAAAACCTTTCATTGATGAGTGTGTGGACCTACAGGACAGTGGTTTCACATGGGAAGATGACAAAGGCGTTTCTGTCAATACAAAAGTAATCCCTTTAATTCTAATGAGTGACTCAGTTGCCAGACCTCTGATCCAAAATTTTAAACAGTTTAATGGTGAATATGAATGCTCCTACTGCCTTCATGAAGGAAAGGTAGTTGAAAAAGGCAGAGGTTTCACTCGTGTATATCCTTTTCAGAAGGACGTTCAGCTCCGCAATCAGGAACAAACTAATGAATTTGTAGAAGCTGCGCTACAGTCTGGTAAAGCTGCTTTGGGTGTTAAAGGGCCAAGTATGTTGTGTAGACTTCCCAGTTTTGATATTATCGAAGGGTCTGTCCCAGACTATATGCATTTAGTACTTCTGGGTGTTGAAAGAACTGTAACAGGGCTGTGGTTAAACAGTGAAAACCATGAAAAGCACTGGTATATAGGTAGGTCTACAAAACTGTTAGATGAAATGCTTTTAAAGATTAAACCGCCATGTTATGTACCTCGTGTGCCAAGGTCTGTCACATATATGTGGAATATGTGGCTCTTTTATAATAGCTTACCTGTACTAAAAGGTGTATTGCCAGAACCACTACTGAATCACTGGTCTAAACTAGTCAAGGGAGTATCCCTTCTGTTGGGCGAAAATATAACTAGAGAGCAGATTACTGAGTCTGAGGCACTTCTAACAGATTTTGTGAAAGACATGGAGGTATTCTATGGGGAAGCTAATCTGTCTTATAATGTCCATCTTTGCCTCCATTTACCAAGAAGTGTAGTTAACTGGGGGCCTTTGTGGGCTCATTCCGCCTTTATGTTTGAGTCTTACAATGCTAAACTACTAGACATGATCAAAAGCACTCAAGGGGTTGCGCTACAGATTGTAAAAATGTTCTGGCTACAGAAGGCCTTACCATTTTATGGCCAGACTTTACTGAAAGATGCCTCAAATGAATGCAAGGAGATATTTGAATCTCTAACAAGACCTAAACAGTTAAAAGATGTAACTCGCACACATGGTATAACTAAAGTGCGATTAATTAGGAGGGATGACTATATGGCACTGAGTCGTTATGGGGTACAAAGGAGCAGAGTAAAGTACTTTCAACGAATCATTACAAATGGCGAGGTGTTTCACTCAGAAGATTACAGTTGTGTACTCAAACGTAATTCATTCACTGTTATGTTGAATGATGATGATCAAAATTTCTTTAACATTAAACGATTTGTAATATGTCAAAATGAAAGTGGAGAGACGTGTTATGCCATTGGAAGATTCTATGAACGAGCAAAGCATAGTCTCTGTGCCTCAAATCCAAGTTATTGTGAACCAGTATCAAAACGTCTTGGGCATCTGACAGGTATTCTTGCTGCAAAGATCAAATGCAAATGTCTGATCATTCACACTGAAAAACTAAAAGTCAATTACATTTTAGAAGCATTAATCAGTGTGAATTCCTTAAATAAGGTTAAACACGAGAAAACATGATTTTCTTCAGTGCCATGTGGTATTTTTCTGAAGTGATTTTAAACCAGTTCATAAAAAAACCCATACATAATTAAACTTTAAATGGCAAAACGTCAGATATATATTACATTAAGTCATTAAGTGCTATATTATATTGCATCATTACAGGAACACTCCCTCAGAGTTAATACGTTGAGTCTGACCATTTTGGAATCCATACAGTTGATTTGTATGGTGATAACACTTTTAACATAGCTTAGCATACATCATTGAATCCAAGGGGACCGTGAGCATCGCGTTGAAAAATGACCAAAGACTCAATGGTCAAACTCAACTTTTTAACTCTGAGGGAGATGGAGAATGAGCCTATTTCCAAAAAAAGTGGACTGTTTCTTTAAGTACTATATTGTATATATTTTCAAAAACTAAAGTGTACATAGCAGTTGTTGTATTTTGTGTACTGTATCAATGACAAATAATTTCAAAGTCAAGTGAATGCTAATATTGTGTAATGTGAAATACTGTAAGCAAATGAATAAATAACCTAATTCTTGCTAGACCTTTGACTCTGTTTTGTTTGAATCCAACTGTTTTTGCAGATGTGATTAGATGCAGATGTTGTTACTTTTATTATTATTATTGCACTAAATACATTTTAACCTCCTAAGACCCGAACTCTTCCACGACATGCATTTTTAATTTCTCTTTGATATTTAGGCATATTGGGACCCGATGAATGTAAAAACAAAGAATTACCAGATTTTTTTTTTTACCTTATTTTTGTTTTTAAGAAAAATAGGAGCCACATATGAGGATATTTGTTTAAAATTTTGATAGAACAATAGCAGTATAATGTCTTCGTAAGTGGATATTAGGCCCTTGTAGAGCAAAATTGAGTATTTTGGTCTAAATAACCCAAAATGTGATGTCCACATATGTGAACGCCAGGTCCTAGGAGGTTAAATAAGGAATACTTTGAAATATATTCTACTGAAAGGTTGGAAATCTATTTTCTTGAACGCAAATATCTTTTGAAATGTATTTTGGATTGAAAGAAATATATTTTCAATTTCAAAAATATATATTTTTGGAGCATCACAAATACAAAATATATTTACCATATATTTGAAATATATTTTGGTCAGGAAAAAAGTATTTTTTTTACCGTATGGGAGGTCTTGAATAATCAGGCCCCATCTTATCTTAATGACCTTATAGTACCATATCACCCCATTAGAGCACTTCGCTCTCACACTGTAGTTTTACTTTTTGTTACTAGTATTAGTAACAAAAAGAATTTAAAAGTAGAATGTGAGGCAGAGCCTTCAGTTTTCAGGCCCCTCTTCTGTGGAAGCAGCTTCCTGTTTGGATTCAGGAGACAGACACTATCTCTACTTTCAAGATTAGGCTTCAAACGTTCCTTTTTTCTAAAGCATATAGTTAGGGGTGGATTAGGTGACCTGAATCCTTCCTTAGTTATGCTGCAGTAGGTGTAGGCTGCTGGGGGATTCCAATGATGCACTGGGTGTTACTTCTTCACTCACTATGTGTCAACAGAACTCTCTGCACTGAATCATATTTGTTATTAATCTCGGGTTCGCTTCCATAGCATGTCTTGCTCCTGTCTTCCTCCCCCTGGCCCTCCCCTGAGACTGGCTCTGCTGTAGGCTTCTTCCTGTTAAAAAGGAGTTTTCCTTCTCGCTGTTGCCAAAGTGCTTCCTCATAGTGGGTCATATGATTGTTGGGTTATCTCTGCATGTATTATTGTACGGTCTACCTCACCACCTTGAGGCGACTGTTGTGATTTGGTGCTGTATGAACAAAATTAAACTGAATAATAATTTTCTAATTTTTGGGAAACAAACCAAAACAGTTGGAGAGTGTCTGACCTCACTGAATGTAAGCTGATCTGGGATATGTGCACTGGAGCAATAGCTGTGAATGAACCTGGACCAGCACACTCAGAATCAGGCTGGAAGAGAGGAGACCTCTAAAGACCTGCTGAGGACAGACCAGGGTGAGAGGAACCTGCATCCCAGTGCTTTAACCTGTGACCATAGCTAAGGGGAACATACACAGTCTTCATGGTTCTGACATGCTATCATGTGATCATACATGTGACCCCAGGTTTAAATGCTGCACAGAAACACATGTGATGATGGTGACAGTCGTCATACCATCAGTTGTGAGGACAGCTGATGACGTGACAGTTTATCAGACTTTGCTCGCTATGTGCTCAGAGGTTTTCTGCTGCAGCTCACTTCCTATTCTCTGCTTGCACACAGGAAGCTAAAGTCGCCTTAAAAAGCTGTTGTTGTTGTTGTGAGCTGATGATCGTCAGGCAGCTGATGATGACAAGCATGAGACTGTGAAGTTGGGCTGGGATCAGATTATCAGTTCTTCGGTTTGGACTGAGGAGCTGTCACATTCTTACCTGTGCAGGTGATCGGTGTGTCAGCGCATTCGGGTGATACTAAACATTATTAAAACAGGAGCGCTGTGTGTGCATGTGTCCCTGTGAGTGTGTGTGTGTTTCTTTTGAACTTTATCTGATAGAAACAAGCTCAGATCTGAAGACGCGCGCTTCGTGAGTGCGGAAGTGAGCGCAGTCAGTACCAGCTGTGCGTCGCGCTGTGTGCGGCGGTTCTGGTGTACTGTCGGTGATTTTCTAGATGGGTTGCTCCCTCTCAGCGGAGGCTCCGGACCGGCGGCCGGAGCAGGAGGAGGAAGAGGATGCGTTGCCGGTGAGTCTGAGCGCGGAGAGCCGGGAGGCGATCAGGAGCAGTTGGAGGGAGATCCAGGAGGACATCAGCAGGGTGGGCGTCATCATGTTCGTCAGGTGAGTTCACGCGCGCTCCGCCGTCCTCTGTACCGTCACGCAGGTAGACGTTATGAAGAAGTGTTACGTCAGAGCAGGTATCCTTAACTACCGGTCATAAAGCCGTGTTGAGTTTGTTTAAGGGCGAGGGTCTCTCAGCTCGCAGATCTGATGTCCCACCAGCCCACAGGCACGGCTGTGACGTCAATTCTGCGTAAATCGACGTTCAGTCAGAAAACAGTGGCGATTATCGTTTAGATGATCAGATTATTGTAAAAACTGCGGGTTTTTTAATGCCGCAAGGTTTGATTGACAGCTCATCACCAAACAGCGGGCATGCGCAGGTCTGAAAGACTTTCTGGTTCTGATGCAGGTGAGTGCCTCAGAGTCAGAGGTCATGTGTCAAAAGTCACGGGAGATCATGTTCTGCTTTCTGGAGTCTGAGAAAACTGTGCAGACGAACCCTGACAGGAAGTGGGCTGGAGCTGGTTTGGTTGCTGTGCCTGAGTTTGCAGAGGGTGGAGGTCCTCCTCTCCTCTGCAAGATGGAGCAGGGCCAGGCAGAGCCACAGTGTTTGGGCTCAGGAGTGCTGTTTACCTGCAGACTGATGTTACTGATGTTCATGCAAAGCAGGTGCAGCGAGCCGCTCTGCAGTCTCAGCCGCTCTCTGTGGTTTGTGCACAGCTGTCTGTTTTCGCCTTGTGTTTGTGTGTGAAAGTTCACCCCAGCCCTCAGCACAGCACAGAGGACCGTGGGTAATGAGGACGTGACCTTTCTGCAGCTGCAGGTTCACTGACTGCCCTTTGTTAGCTTATCAGACATCAGAGCAGCGCTCACACCAACCATTTAACTCCACCCCCACCCTCTTCCAGGCTGTTTGAGACTCACCCGGAGTGCAAAGACGCCTTCTTCACCTTCAGAGACCTGAATGATGTGAACACCCTGAGGGCGAGCAAAGAGCTGAAAGCCCACGGCCTCAGGTTACACACACATACACACACACACGCACACACTTTAAGTGAGAGCTGAGCAGTGTAACTGTGAGTGGGGGGACCAAGCAGAAACAGGGACAAATGTGCTAACAGCTGATCAGCTGATTTCACAAATGACATAAAACATTAGTCAAATGAGGCGTTAAACATAAATACCACCTCTGTTGGACTTATAAATAAAGTTCTTTTGAAGCCAGGAAGGATGTGAGGGTGGTGCTAATCTAATGTCATACACAATAACAAGAAGCAGATGTTGTTATCAGTCATAATGACTTGCGTCCATTTTTATCTCTGAAACTGAAACACTTTGTTAAACTGTGTGGGAGAGGAAATATAAAACTGTACTCTCACCCCTTGCTGTAACATTTTGTATGAGGGCTGCAATGAGGGCTCAAGATATATTTATTATTGCCTCTGATCAGAATTATTGCAATCATACAGAAGCATGAAATTAACCTTTCATTTCATTAAAACACAGCCCAGAGGGCCGGTTAGCTGACAGCTAGCAGCAAAAGCTGCCTGTGACTCCTGCAGGGTCTCTGGTTTTAGCAGAGCCTCCTGCTGACTGGTTTTCTCCTCTGCTCTCTCTGCAGGATCATGTACATCATCGAGAAGACGGTCGCCAGGATCGACCAGGACGACCGTCTGGACCAGCTGATCCTGGATCTGGGCAGGAAGCATTACCAGTACAAAGCCCTGCCAAAATACTATGATGTCAGTGTGAAGCTGAACACAGTGGTGGGGATTTGTTTCCACTCAGCTGTGACATTAGTTCAGTCCACACTGGTCATCCTCAGCCGAGCCTGCTCACACACGTCTGGCAATTCTTCTCAATTTTCTGAGCTTTAGGCAGATTGAAAGCTATAGGAGGGTTGTAGAAGAGCTGGAGGAGGATTATAGGAGGGTTTTAGAAGAGCTGGAGGAGGGTTGTAGGACAGCTGTAGGTGGACTGTAGGACGGCTGTACTAGGATTAGGGATGGGTATCGTTTAGGTTTTATCCGATACCGGTGCCAAACCGGTACTTTTGAAATGGTACCGGTGCTTAAACGGTGCTTGAACCGGTGCTTAAAGAATGGAGAACACAAACTTTGTCCAAAAACCTCTTATGTTTTTATTTTTAGCAGTCTCTTTTTTTCTGCAAAATGATAACCAAGTTAGCCTTTTCTGTTGATACAACATACCTCCTTTGGTTGGAACCGGTGCTTAAACAATGGAAAACACAAACTTTGTCCTAAAACCTCTCACGTTTAGCTGTTCTTTTTTGTAAAAAGATAACAATGTTAGCCTTTTCTGCAGCTATAGGGCATACAGTGGCTTGCAAAAGTATTCGGCCCCTTTGAACTTTTCCACATTTTGTCACATTACAGCCACAAACATGAATCAATTTTATTGGAATTCCACATGAAAGACCGATACAAAGTGGTGTACACGTGAGAAGTGGAATGAAAAATCATACATGATTCCAAACATTTTTTACAAATAAATAACTGAAAAGTGGGGTGTGCGTAATTATTCAGCCCCCTGAATCAATACTTTGTAGAACCACCTTTTGCTGCAATTACAGCTGCCAGTCTTTTAGGGTATGTCTCTACCAGCTTTGCACATCTAGAGACTGAAATCCTTGCCCATTCTTCTTTGCAAAACAGCTCCAGCTCAGTCAGATTAGATGGACAGTGTTTGTGAACGGCACTTTTCAGATCTTGCCACAGATTCTCAATTGGATTTAGATCTGGACTTTGACTGGGCCATTCTAACACATGGATATGTTTTGTTTTAAACCATTCCATTGTTGCCCTGGCTTTATGTTTAGGGTTGTTGTCCTGCTGGAAGGTGAACCTCCGCCCCAGTCTCAAGTCTTTTGCAGACTCCTAGGTTTTCTTCCAAAATTGCCCTGTATTTCGCTCCATCCATCTTCCCATCAACTCTGACCAGCTTCCCTGTCCCTGCTGAAGAGAAGCACCCCCAGAGCATGATGCTGCCACCACCATATTTGACAGTGGGGATGGTGTGTTCAGAGTGATGTGCAGTGTTAGTTTTCTTCCACACATGGCGTTTTGCATTTTGGCCAAAAAGTTCCATTTTGGTCTCATCTGACCAGAGCACCTTCTTCCACATGTTTGCTGTGTCCCCCACATGGCTTGTGGCAAACTGCAAACGGGACTTCTTATGGTTTTCTGTTAACAATGGCTTTCTTCTTGCCACTCTTCCATAAAGGCCAACTTTGTGCAGTGCAATAATAGTTTTCCTATGGACAGATTCCCCCACCTGAGCTGTAGATCTCTGCAGCTCGTCCAGAGTCACCATGGGCCTTGGCTGCATTTCTGATCAGCGCTCTCCTGTGAGTTTAGGTGGATGGCCTTGTCTTGATAGGCTTACAGTTGTGCCATACTCCTTCCATTTCTGAATGATCGCTTGAACAGTGCTCCATGGGATGTTCAAGGCTTGGGAAATCTTTTTGTAGCATAAGCCTGCTTTAAATTTCTCAATAACTTTATCCTTGACCTGTCTGGTGTGTTCTTTGGACTTCATGATGTTGTTGCTCCCTCTTAGACAACCTCTGAGGCCGTCACAGAGCAGCTGTATTTGTACTGACATTAGATTACACACAGGTGCACTCTATTTAGTCATTAGCACTCATCAGGCAATGTCTATGGGCAACTGACTGCACTCAGACCAAAGGGGGCTGAATAATTACGCACACCCCACTTTTCAGTTATTTATTTGTAAAAAATGTTTGGAATCATGTATGATTTTCGTTCCACTTCTCACGTGTACATCACTTTGTATCGGTCTTTCACATGGAATTCCAATAAAATTGATTTATGTTTGTGGCTGTAATGTGACAAAATGTGGAAAAGTTCAAGGTTGCCGAATACTTTTGCAAGCCATATGGTATCACTCTATCAAACAAGAAGACAGCCGCATGCAACTTCGACGGTGTTTGCTAGTTCACATTACATGCATTAATTTAATAACGTGGTTAGTCTACTCAACGTAAATTACACGCAAACAACATTAAGCCACTCACCCAGAGAAGAACGGCTGCTGTGCCATCATCATCTGTCATCATTTCTGCTACACTGGCAGGGCTAGGGGCCAGGATTGTCCTCTTCGGGTTCTTGGGGGATGTTGCTAACTCTGGGTCCGATAACAGGCACCAAACCCGCAGTAGATGTGCTCGGTGTGAGGTCTTGCAGCAAGCTATCAAATACGGTGCATTTCTCGGCTTTTAAAAAAATGCTATGCGTTGCCAGGTGTTTCATCAGATTCGAGGCATTACCTCCTTTGCACAGTATCACCTTAAAGTACTTGTTGCAGGCTGCTGAGTTTGCATCTTTTGCTGTGAAGTACAGCAAGACTTTTGACTGCTTCGCCTTGGACATTTTTAATCTGTAGCTCTGCTCTAAAAGAACGTACGTACCTGGGCCCGCCTACTATCCTTGGAAAGCTAAAATGATTGGCTAGAATCCAAAGTGTATGACATCTCAAGAAAAAAAAAAAAGCACTGAAATGCGCTGCTTTTCAGTCTGGTTACTACTGTTTATGTCAGAACCGGTGCCATAATGGCACCAGATACCGGTAGCCATCCCTAACTAGGACTGTAGGAGGGTTGTAGAAGAGCTGTAGTAGGGTTGTAGGACTGTTGTATTGGAGATTATGTATCGGAATTTAAGGAGCAGGACCACGCCTCCAAACACGCTCCTTCCGTATAGGTTTCCCCAGTTCTGCAAGCTGATCATTCTCGTTTACGTGCAAACAGGGTCCATTCTTGGCGGTTTCCTTTAAACACAGCTTTCTCACAGGAGTAACATAATTTTACTCACCCTTCCATTCGCTACAATTGTCCTCTTGTCTGTCAGCGCATCAGATGAACAACTACTCAAGCTCTTCGTCCATCGCTTTTCCTCCGGCAATCCAAGAAACACACCGAACGCCACGGCTCAAGACCGAATGCTGATGATCCTCTAGCAGTTTTCTCGCCACCCGACATATGGACTGCCACGTCGATCCATCCAGTCTTCATATCTCGGCTAAATTCAGTTATGAGGTAACGCCAGTTCTATATTCCTCCATAGCAAATTCAGTACAGAGTTGCCAGGTTCCCAGCCTCTTCCCTCCTTCACAAAATTCTGCACGTAACCTCAGCACCGAGTTGCCAGGTTCCTTTATCCTCATTCGCAAAAGCAGCAGCAAGCAGCAGAGTTGCCAGTACTCCACCCCTCCGTAGTGAATGCAGCATGCTTTGGCACCGAGTTGCCAGCTTCGCAAAATTCTGCAGCAAACCTTGGCACCGGGTTGCTAGGCTCTTAGTCACTCATCCCTCCTTCGCAAATTCTGCTGTTAACCTCAGCACCGAGTTGCCAGGTTTCCAGCCTCTCATCCCTCCTTGGCTAAACTCTGCAGCATACGTTCACTCATCCTTCCTCTGCTAAACTCTGCAGCAAGCGTCGGCACCGAGTTGTCAGGTTTCCAGCCACTCATCTCTCCTTCGCAAAATTCTGTAGCAAACCTTGGCACTGGGTTGCCAGGCTCCTTTATCCCTCATTCGCAAAAGAAACAGCAAGCTTTTCTGCCATCGGGTTGCCAGTTCTCAGTGTAGACAAAATTAATTAATTAATGAATTTAATTAAACGGCCCCGGGTTGCCAGGTTTTCCTTCATCACCATTAGCAATGCAGCATCTAGCTTTCCAACTAATGAACTGCCAGTTTCTCTGCATCCATCGTGGCAAAAAGCAGCATTAATCCTTCTAGCCCCGATACCAAGTTCTCAATTCTCATTTGCAAAATAGCCAGTTTCTTTGCATGGGGAAAAAAAAGGCACTGAGTTGCCAGGTTTGTCCTTTAACCCTTATTTACAAAAGCAGCCGCAAGCCTTTTACCAACGCCTTGCTGGTTTCCTTTGCCGGTCCTTCCCTCATATCCAATCGCACCAGCAAACTTTTCTATGAATGAGTCACCAGTTTCCCTTTCCCGTATCCCATATTGGCAAAATGCAGCAGCTTGCTTTTGGCACCGGGATGCCAGGTTCTCTTCCTCTATCACTCCTATGCAAATACAGTAGCAAGCTTTGGCACCGAGATGCCAGCCTCTCTCCCTCTCTCCCTCCTATCCTAATACAGTAGCAAGCTTTGGCACCGGGATGTCAGCTTCTCTTCCTCTATCCCTCCTATGCAAACACATTAGCAAGCTTTGGCACCGGGATGCCAGCTTCTTATCCTCTATCCCTCCTATGCAAATACAGTAGCAAGATAAAGAAGAATCAGGCGCCGAGTTGCCTGGTTCTTCTTTATCCCTCACTCGCATACTCAGGAGCAAACTTTCTAATACAGAGTTGCCAGTTTCACTGCATTAATCCTTCTACCACTGGGACGCCAGCTTCTCCACATCTAGCCCTTATATGCTAAGCAGCAGATGTTCCTTTCAGCACCAAAACGCCAGGTTCACTGTCTCTATTCCTCATTTGCAAATGCAGAAAACGTTCTTTGCACCGAGATGCCAGGTTCTGTTCCCTAAGTAGCTTACCTTTCCGTTACTGGATTGGCAGCTTCCGCCATCAATCACTCGCAAAAAACCCAAAACATTCCTTTCACCAGGATGCCAGTTTCTCTCTTTACATCCAGTCTTCCACAAGACGTAGCAGCAAACTGTTCCGGCACAGAGAACCATCTGTCATCTTTCCTGCCTTTGCAAAGCACTGATGAACCTTCGTGGCACTGGGATGCCAGATTCTTTCCTCTATCGCCCCTTTTAAGACATCCAAACTGTGCCATGCGCATAATTCTTCATGACATCCCTTTACTTCTCACGTGCTTTCGCAAGGATTATCTAGCATCCACCCTCGACACAATCATTCAAGACTATGTCTAAACAGCTCATCATCTCCCACGAAGTTCAGTGGACTCGCCCTCTGCTCTCTGACAATTTTGGGAGTTATTATTATAGAAGACGACTTTCCTCTAATCAGTCATTCAATTCATCAACCCTTCCCAAGCTGCCGCTTTCACTTCTGTTCATTTCAGAAATAAGCACAGTAGTTATCACTACCTTATCTGACGTAATTAACCAGCTAAGCACCCCCTCTCCATCTTCTGCTTGTCCGAGCTGATCCACTCCATGGAATCTTTGACTACCTTATCGAGAGCTGTTCAGCTTTGCTAGCCTGCTACCAGTTATTTTCCTCTTCTTTGGGTGGTGAGGCCACTCGGCGTTCGCTCTCCCTACACTTGCCTCTGTCCTGTTCTCCTTCTCTCACCCAAACCGGTCACGGCAGTTGGCTGCCCCTCCCTGAGCCTAGATCTGCCAGAGGTTTCTTCCTGTTAAAAGGAAGTTTTTCCTTCCCACCATCGCCAAAGCGCTTGCTCAGAGGGGGTCATACAATTGTTGGGTTTTTCCTCCAGACATCATTGTAGGGTCTCGAGGCATCTGTCACCATGGTTCGGTGGCATATAAATAAGTTGAATTGAAAATCTAATTATTCTCGCTGAGGTCGTCGACCCTCGTAATGCACAGTTGTTACCATTTTCAGGGGATGCCTTCTTTGGGGATCTGCCAGGCCCAGGAGCCATCGCCAGTCCCCTTTGAGACCTTCCACAAACTGCAGCTCAATTCATGTCAAAGCATTCACTTTTACCTACTAAAACGCTGTCAAACCTAAAATGAGGACGTAGGCCCAGCTAGTGAATTGGAGATTATGTATCGGAATTTCCGGAGTAGGACCACGCCTCCAAACATGCTCCTTCCAGCTGTCATCTATATAGGTTCCCCCAGTTCTGCAAGCTGATCATTCTCGTTTACGTGCCCCACCCTCCCTCCCTCCTTGTTCTCCATTCTTTAACTTCTTCACTTCTATTTAGTACATGGGGATCTGCCAGGCCCGGGAACCATCGCCCGTCCCCTTTGAGGCCTTCCCCAAACTGCAGCTCAATTCATGTCAAAGCATGACATGAATTAAGCTAGTAAATGATGGTAGTAGAATAGCTGTATAACAGCTATAGGACGGTTGTAGAATGGGTGTAGGATGGGTGTATAGCAGCTGTAGGACTGGTGTAGGAGGACTGTACGAGGGTTGTAGGAGGACTCTAGGACAGCTGTTGGATGGCTGTAGGATAACTGCAGTAGGGTTGTAGGACGTCTTGATGCATGCTCAATCATCCAGGTAAGTAAATCTCCAAAAGTTGATTCTGTTCATCTGGACGTAGCGTTTTGTGGGAGAAACGTTTCGTCACTCATCCAACTGACTTCTTCAGTCTCAGCTGACTCCAGGTTTCCCCAATCTTATAAACAGTATGATGACTGAAACCAGCCCACTGAAGGAACAATGGGCCTGGAGGTCAGTTCCTTAATCTTAATTATGCAAATTCTCATGAGAATTGATCAACAACCACTGACCAAAACCCACTGATCAATGGCCATGAGTACCATTCACAGAGAGTTGGGGAATGGCTGCAATCACTGCATTGTAAGATGGCGAAAGATGTACCCTTAGGCACCCTCCTCGATTCAGAGATGGTTTTTCCCTTTTCACGTAAATGGCCTCCTTGACACCGCACTCAACCAGCGTTCCTCCTTGTCCAAGATGTGTACCTCTTCATCATTGAAAAAGTGTCCACTGGCCTGTAGGTGTAAATAGACTGCAGAGTCCTGGCCTGACGAGGTAGCTCTTCTGTGTTGTGCCATCCGCTTCACCAGAGGTTGTTTGGTTTCCCCGATGTATAAATCCTGGCAATCCTCCTGGCACTTAATAGTGTACACCATGTTACTCTGTCTGTGTTGGGGGACCCAATCCTTGGGGTGGACCAATTTATGGCACAGCGTGTTTTGGGTTTTAAAAGCCACAGAGACCCGGTGTTTAGAAAAAATGCATCTCAACTGCTCCGATACTCCTGACACATACGGGATTACTGCGGGTTTTCGCTTAGGCAGCGGTTGTCCTTCTCTCCTGGATCGGCTGGAGCTTTCTTTTGGCGCCTTCCCAGCTTTGACAAAAGTCCAGCTGGGATAACCACATTTACTCAGGACCTTCTTGATGTGCTTTTCTTCAGCTTCCCTGGCTGCTGTGTCTGTGGTGATGGTGTTCGCTCTGTGTTGTTCGCTCAGTGTTGTAAAGATTAAGGAACTGACCTCCCAGGCCATTGTTCCTTCAGTGGGCTGGTTTCATTTATTATGCAATGTACTGTTTATAAGATTGGGGAAACCTGCAATCAGCGGAGACACTTGGATGAGTGACGAAATGTTTCTTCCACAAAATGCTACATCCAGATGAATAGAATCAACTTTTGGAGGGTTGTAGGACAGTTGTAGGAGGACTGTAGGACTTCTCTAAGATGGCTCTAGGAGAGTTGTAAGAAGGTTGTAGGAGGGCTCGGGTGGAGAAAGGCCTTTTTTTTCTGGTTTATTTTGTCACACTCTGTGGAAGCACCAAACTGCTCTACTCTTAACTCCACCCACCCAGAGCTGCATGTGTGTGCTCATCAAAAAAAAAACTTTCTCTGTCTGTCCAGCTTATGGGGGAAGAGTTCATCCACGCAATCCATCCGGTCCTGCAGGAGCGCTGGACTTCAGACCTGGAGGAGGCCTGGAAGGTAAACAGAGGTGACTTTTACAGATTCTTCAGAGCAAGCAGAGAAAAGTTAACCTCATCATACAGATGATGATTAAACATGCAATTTATTGCTTCAAGAACCTGAACATATAAACAACCAGAGGAGAAACAGATGTGATCTCTGCTGAAGCCTGAAGCTGACGGTGGCCTAAAAAAAACTGCAAATCAGAATGAAGAGCCTGTTTTCTTTTCATTGGCCAACTTCTGAAAGCCTGTAGAGGGGCTGTCTGTATCTGTCATGAAAGAAGAGAAAGACATTTTAAATAGGGCAGGCTTTACATTCAGTCCACAGTGTTCTCAGTCAGGCTCTGGACTTGTTCTGTCCAGTTCCTTTTCAGTTGATTCACTTGGTACAACACATAATTATGGGATATCATGCCCTCGCGTGTCCTGGCTGAAGAAACCTTTATTCATGCCTTTAAGGCAGATGAAGTGTGATGACACGCGCACGGCCCCCGCCTGCACATGTAGCCGCTGTCATCACAGTCATCCCTCAGTTCTTACGCTCTTCACCTCGCTGAGAACACCTCTGCTGAGTTGGGCTAGCTAGCTGCTGCTAGTTAGCTCCGTTGTCTGCCGACTTGAACTTAGCTTAACTGCCCCTGTTGATGTTAGCCTCCACCGCCCAGCTGGTGCGTAGGCTGCCCGCAGAGCGCTAATTTCAAGTTTTTCCTGTGCAGCGTTTCGCTTTGCGTTTTGGAATGGACTCCAAACCGAAGTGAGCAAAGCAGAAATCTTCTGTCCGCCCCTGTCCTCAGGGATGCGCTTTCTCTTTGCACGACAGCGACCAGCACGATGCCTGCCGTGTCTGCCTGGGGATTGTCCATGCTAGGAGAGCGTTGACGGAGCCCGAAGCCTGTGCGTTTTGCCGCCAGCTCCAGCGCTCGACCCAGGAAAGACGGGTGACGTTTGTGGAAAAAGTGCTGGGACGCTCGGCTGTCGCATGGCATGACCATCTCCTTTCCGAGTCTGGAGCCCCGGCTTCGTCCGAGTCCGAAGACGAGGATTTTCCGGTCGACGTCCCCGCAATTAGCTGGGCTGACCACATGGAATATGTTGACGGGTTAGCCGATGACGAGCCGGAACCATGCAGGAGCGCTGACGGGCTTCAGCCTGGGTTGAAGCCCACCAGTGCTCCCCAGGAAGACGATGACGTGCTGGACATCGGCCTGGACATCCATGGATTGTCGGAGGATGAGCAGGAGAGCTTATTGTCGGCCCAATGTGCCGCCACTGCTGCGCCGGTTGGCCACGATGACACCTCTCTTTTCTCCCTGTTTCGTCGTGCTGGTGAGAAGCTGCAGCTGGACTGGCCCTCTCCTCCGCCAGCTCAGAAGCCGTTGCGGTTCGCGGGTTTTTTCTTCCCAACGGAGCCCGCAACGGCCAAAAACTGCCTTCCCATGTTCCCAGACTTTCTCTGCGAGCTAACAGCATCATGGGACAAACCTCTGTCTACCCACGTCACTGTGCCCGGCTATGGACAGTACATGGAATTGGACGGCGCCAAGGGGGCTGGCTTAGCTAAGCCACCCCCTATGGAGCCGTCTCTGGCTGCTTATCTGGCCCCATCCCATAACGATGGTGTCGGCGGCCCTGCAACTCTGCCGTACAAGCACTGCAGATTCTCTGCTTCGCAGCTGGAGAAGATTTATCGGGCTCAGGCTGGCACTGCTCGCGCCATGAGCTCCGTCACCATGCTCCAGACAATGTGCCTGGCAGAGCTCGGATCGCTGGTTCCTGATGACAGCCCGCTGGCACCTCTTCTTAACGAGGTCAGAGTCACAACAGATTACATCCTCCGTGCGTCTCGCTGTGCAGCGCTCTCCCTGAGCAGAGGGATGGCTTCGGCAGTAGTGTCACAGAGGCACCTGTGGCTGACCCTCTCTGATGTCCCGGATAGGGACAGAGCTGTATATCCGGATGAACCAGTGTCTGCGGCTGAGTTATTTGGACATTCACTTGAAGCCCTTCAGGCTAGATTCAATCTGAGGAAAAAGCAGACGGAAGCTCTGCGCAACATCATCCCCAGACGTCAGCCCAAGCCCGCAGCTAGCTCTCACAGGCCCGCCGCTCCTCTGCTGACTGGCAAGAGTCACTGCTGAAGTGGGTGTGCTGCCAGTGAGAGCACATCCTCCAGCCCGAGCTCCACGCCAGTCGGCCTGGAGCAAAGGCCCACCCTCGGGCCCCCAATGGGACCCGACGCCCAGGAGGAAGAAGCCTCAGCCCTCCTAGCTGTGGTTTCGAGTGGAGAAGGGGTCCAGCAGCAGGGAGACGCTGCTTTTACCCCTCTGTTGCCGCCCAAGAGGTGCCACTTAAGTTTTGTTCAGGTTGTCAGCCCCAGAAGGCGCTGCACTTTCCTAACACTGTCTCCCAAGCACAAAACCCCTGCACACAAAATGCCTCAGGTAACTCCCTGTTCAGGTGTGTTAAATGTTCAGGTGACCACATCGAGTGTTCCCGCTGTTTTTCATTGTTGTGCCCCAGAAAAGGTGCCTCCAACAAAATGTATGAATGTACATGTTTCCATGTTACAATCAATAAAGAGTGTTGTTTATTCTCAAACAATCACAAATGCTCAGCCTGCAGGCAGAATGAGCCAGGTCATGCAGGTGATGCAGTCCCCTGCAGACACACTGGGGGGCGACAACGCCCCGCCGACGGTGCTGCAGGTCAGCCGGCTGGCTGCTCACTTCCGTCAGTGGCGCGCTTGCGCCCCCTCTCTACAACCGTGGGTTCTGCGAACCGTTGCCATGGGTTACCGGTTGCAGTTCCGGGTCAAGCCACCTCGTTTCCAAAGAGTCGTAAACACGACTGTCAACACCGAGGTGGCCATGATACTCAGAGAGGAAATAAAGGCGCTATTGCAGAAAAGAGCGATACGAGTGGTCCCCGCTTCGGAGACAGACAAAGGTTGGTACAGCCGTTATTTTGTTGTTCCGAAAAAAAGGGGGAGGGCTTCATCCGTGCCCACAGCTGTTAGGAGGGAATGTCTGCTTCTTACCCTCCGAACTCGTACATGGCAGTAGCAGTGGACTTTCACAGGGCTGCGCATTTATCTGGTTATTAGAATTGTCGGTCACTTTTCTAATACAAAAACTGTAGCTTCTCCCACTGAAGGACTTCAAATCGGCTCCAGCTCTTCTCTCAGCCCGCGGTACTTCTCTCTGTTTGACATCACCGTTAGGTGGAATTGCCACATTCATCACAGTGGTGATGAATGTGGCAATTCCAGGAAACAGTTGCACTCTTATGTGTCTCTCTGCAACGTCCTCCCCCCACTCCTCCCCCTGTCTGCTCTCAGACCACCGAAAAACAAAGAAACAGCAAGAAATGAATTAAGCAGAAAAAATTAACAAAGAAAAGTTTAATCTTTAATCTGTTGTTACCTGTTGTCCACCTGGCCCTTAATTACTAGCATTTAAACGTTATGAAAAAGGGAAATACATTTCATCATTTACTCTGGAGAAATAGTTTACTGCTTTATAAGAAAGCTCTCCGTGAAGCTAGAACATCTTGCTATTCATCACTGATTGAAGAAAATAAGAACAACCCTAGGTTTTTCTTAGGCACTGTAGCCAGGCTGACAAACAGTCAGAGCACTGTTGAGCCAACCATTCCTTCTCACAAGCCAACCAGTCGCTGCAGATGGTCGCCCCTCCCCGAACCTGGTTCTGCTGTTGGTTTGTTCCTGTTAAAAGGAAGTTTTTCCTTTTCACTGTCACCAAAATGCTTGCTCATAGGGGGTCATATGACTGTAAGGTCTAACTTAAAATATAAAGCACCTTGAGGTGACTGCTGTTGTGATTTGGCGCTGTATAATTAAAATTAAATTTGTCTTTTCTTTGCCACAGGACCTTAGCCCTGATGTTCTATGTTTTAGCTCTACTTTTTGGCTTGTTGTGCTGAACTGTCTCCGGGTCACCTTTGTGCTGCCTGCAAAGATGGATAGAGCAGTGATAACATCACCATGCTGGCAACAAAGACGGCCTGGCTGTGACGAGCTTCCTCTGATCTGACCTCTGCTTTCTGAGAAAATGAAAGAAACTCGTGGAAATAAAGAAACAGAAAATTAACTGTTAATATTCCAGAGAGTTTTGCATAAATGAAGATGTTAGTTTGTTGGAATGACTTCAGCTGATGATTGGACTGTAAATATCAGCAGCAGGTTTAACGCTGTCCTCTCAAACCTGCTGTAAAAGGACCTGGGGTCCGTTCTTCGTACCTCGCTAAGTAAGTTAGCTGGATTTGATTGTTAAGGATTTCGCGTGATCTTGGATCGTTAGGTTCTCCGAAGATCATCCGGGACTTGCTGTCATAGCAACAGATCCGTAAGCATAAACCTGCTTGGGAGCAGGCTTACTTTATGTAGATCGCGATTAGATTAGATTAGATCGCGGCCACTCAGGTATGTCCGCTTCATTTATACGAAAGCAACAGCGATATTTTACCACTGTTTGTCCATAAATAAATATTATCAATGTAACTAAAGATAATGCAGTACTTGATCCTTTTATTGATTTCATACAGATACATACAGGTCATTTCCTAAAAAAAGGGAAATGTACTATTATTCATTCCATTCCATGTATTTGATTATTTCAGATGCAATTCATATTTTAGAGTAGTAATGGTAAATTACGTCGTGTAATCAAGATGAGAGACCACGGCTATAAAAGCGAAGGTGGATTTGGGAAGTCTGTCGCAGCCATGTCCTGTCCGTATACGCAAGCCACCCATTGCGGAAGGTGCAAGATTGATAAGGAGAGTTTTCAGAACTCAGCGTATATTGCGGGATAGACAGGATCCTTTAGCTCAGCGCCACAGTGTGCTCATAGAGAGAAATCGATTTTCCCGTGAGGGTATTATTTACTTAACCAACTTGTTGACGAGGGGGTGCAGGACCACCACCTGTCTTTTTTTGCTCTGCCCTTTTCTTGGTTGCTGTTATAAACAAACAAACAGATTATGTCAGGGTCTCTTTTCAAGACACTAAAAGCAATATAAGTGATAAATATTACCATTCTGTAGAATATTCTTATATTTCACTTTTACTTGTTCACATGTTCTAGTGGGTCCTGTTGTGGCTCTAATGTGATAGAGGATATAATGTAATATAATATAATATGATATAATGTGATATAATATGATAAATTTACCCTACTGCCTACTGGTGTTGGCCAGAGGGGCCGATGGCGCGATATGGCAGCCTGGCTTCTGTCAGTCTGCCGCAGGGCAGCTGTGGCTACAACCGTAGCTTGCCTCCACCAGTGTGTGTGAATGTGAGAGTGAATGAATAGTGGCATTGTAAAGCGCTTTGGGTGCCTTGAAAAGCGCTATATGAATCCAATCCATTATTATTATTATTATTATTATTAAATTACTTACGAGTTTAATTTGTCAGCAACTTTCTGCCAGCCCTCTCTCCTTGCTTTTGCAGCCTTTGCAGTGTTCCCTTGCATTTTAATTAAACTCTGAAACTCCTGAAATCCCTCAATCAAGAGTTCTTGCTCTGCTGCCGAAAAATACTGAGCGCGCTCCTTCGACATTTTCGCCGACCAATCAAAGGGTTGCCGATCAATGTTTCTACTATCGATGCGTAGCCCCTGTTAAGCCACCCAATGATCTCACATTACTTCATCCAGCTATACTAATCGTCAACAACAGGTGTGTTCGGAGAACCGGAATAGCGAGCTCAAAGTTGGCGCGATGATTTGATCTTGGGTGTGTCATTTGATCTTGGATGTAGTAAGCGAGGTACGAAGAACGGACCCCAGGCTCATGTTTGAATGTTTATCTGCAGTCCTGTTTACCTCATTTACCTGCACAGTTCAGCTTGCTTGGGCCTGCAGACTCATGCTGCCCCCTGCTGGTCATCGACCAAACCCTGCCGTCTGTGTTGACCCTTTTTTACGACTCTTCTCTTTCCTGCAGACTCTGTTCCTGTACATCACTCGCACCATGAAGAAAGGCTACCAGCAGGCCCAGAGGAGCCACAGCAGCAGCTGAGAGCAGCTCGTCCCATCACGTGGCTTCAGCAGCTCAGGACGGAGTCTTTAAATGACAAGATGTGTAGTGAAAATGTTGTTTTCAGCTCTCATGTGTAACTGTATGAATGTTTAACAGCGCTGAGCTGTGGGCTTTTATTTTGAAAGTGAATAAACATCATGTGACGAGGAGATCTTTTATGCCCCTGTTTGTACACGATCTGAGTATGAGCGGAGTCACATGTTGGGATGAAGCTCCTCCTGCGATGTCACGTCCTCTGGGCATGATCACCTTTGACCTCAGCCACACATCGAGCACAGGCCATCTAAGGTTCTGGTTTTTATTTTCATTTAAATTTTCACAGCATCGAAAAACCACAGAGAAACATCTGCATGAGATCAGTTTATTACAAATGACATGATGATAAAAGAAATCCCGTCATGATGACGCGTGACGCTTCGGATATGTGGACATAAAGGCCGTGGGCGGCCGCAGGACCGTCAGACATGTGAAACGGTCGATGAGACGTGAGCACACGTTTCTACAGCCTGGCTGCTTCTCAGCCGCATGCACTGTAACAAAAGTAAAACACAAAGGCAGGTAGCCCAAATGACCTGTAGCAGCAGCAGTTACATCATCACAGCAATGGCCAATCAGGTGTCTGCTGTGGGCGGCGATGAATCGGTACATTCTGGAAGGCTGCGCCAAAACACCACGAGCAAACAAAGCTCAGCTCCAGCTGCCCTCACAGGCGTTCGGCAATGAAAAAGTGCACATTTGGTGACTCAGCCTCAAACTCTCACCTGCCGCAAGCTACAGGAAACATGCACCTTACAAAATAAAAGTCCAGCTTCTTCAGACACGCACATTCCAGCAGATTCAGTGAAGTCCTCTTTTTCTCAGCTCTCTCAGTTCACAAGCTGATGTGAGCCTAGCTTAAACTGTTCACCCTCTCTACAGACCACACCCACTAACGGTGTGTTGAGGCAAATTCCTCCTGAAGAGGTGCAGGACAGCTCTGCGGCTGGATAAATCCTGGACTCACACAGACCCGTCTAATACATCACCTGCCTGCCACTCGCCTGCACTGGTCCTGAGAGTCGCAGCTGGACGATGATTGGCTGGGTCTGCTGTCCTCTCAACGCAAATGAGCTCCTGGCATGCCATGTGTGCCCCGCCCACTGATGATGTCTTCACACAGCAAACTTCCTCCTGTGGAGCTATGCTAACACTTTCCCTCTGCTTCCAGGGTTTGTGCTAAGCTAGGCTAATCGCTCAAGAGGGTTTCACTGAGCGCGCTCAACAACCGGCTTCTACCCACACAGATGCTTAAACAAAAAAACACACACACACACACGCTCCGCCTCTCTGAGAGCAGGCAGTGCTCTCACAGGTAAAACTCTAAATACTTTCTTCATATAAACTTTTCTAACGCAGCCGAACAAGAAATTTACAAGAAATTCAAAGATCAGAAACACTCCAGATGAATGGAGTTACACAGTCAAGTCCACAACACACAGATGTATCACAGGTGAGCCTGATCCAGCAGCTCATGCTGCTCACAGATGAGCAGAACTCAGCAAGCAGAGTCAGCTGAAACGAGGATATAAAGGACACGAGCTGTTCATCAATTGGAGAGTGTCAGTCCTGAACTCTGGAACCAAGTCTGCAGCTTCTCTGACAGAGCAGCTTCGAAAAGAAAAAAATTAATTGTCGAGTTTTTTCTCAGCTGATGAGTCCACACTTCATCATCAGGAATACAGCCTGTGCTCATGACATAACGCTGTCAAACTGGACTCTCTGAGCCCTCACAGATCAGGACGGGGCAAATGGACAGTGGCTTGTTCTGATCAGAGCTGCAGCTTTGCTTCCACAGACATCTGCGGTCTGCGATTAGAGCTCGGCGTGTCAGCCTTACAGCTCATTTCATTACCAGAAACACATGAGGTGTCATAATTAAGTGAGGCAGAACTTGTGGAGAACACCTCAGCGTTCCTTTGTTTCACATGACCCTGAACTATGTTAAGGGGCGAGCCTTTCTATCAGAATCCAGTGTGCCAAACAGAGCTGAGTCTGGTCTCGCATTTCTTTCAATTTAGGTAGAAAGGCGATGCGTTCAGGGACCAGCACAAGTCTGTTCATTCAGCATAACCTGACACAGCTTCAAAGCTAATGCACAATTACGGCAAGATGGCAAAAGAAAATGAGGCTGAGCGTCATTGCAGCGGAGCACCCAAACATTCAGGAAACACAACATTACATAGTTTTCTCTTCTACAGCTGAGCTCAGGGTTCCGTTTCCTGTCTGCACAGCCCACAGGAAGCTACGGCTTTCTCTTCATAAATACAGACATAAAAACAGCAACACAATCTATCTGTTCAAATGCAACGCAACAACAGATTATCAAAGCACAAAGTTTATCGGTATATGTTTGTACATCATCCACGTACTACGGTGGCGCGAGCGGCTGCTTCATTATGGAGCTTTGACTACGTTTGCTGAGCTTGTGCAAAGTGGAAGCAGTTCTACAGATATACACTGACCACGAATGAGAGTTAGTTCTGGACAGTTTCAGTGCATCCACACGCCGCAGCTCCTCCACCCTAACAAACACACACCGGAGACAGGTCGTCACGGTAACAGCCGGAAGGAGCATGACTGAGCTGCTCCCTGTAGACAGGGAAGGGGCGTGTTTGAGGTCTGTTCACAGCTGCAGTATTTACAGGCAAGGATTCATGTGAGAGGAGTCTGCTAGAAACGATGCATGTGGTTCTGGTCCACAGCAGCATTTCACTTAAAATTTGCATCCTTGAAAGTTCACAACTATGACCTGTGGGACACCGAGATCATCACCTCATCACATCGCTCTGACGTTGGAAACCAACGTCAACCAAACTCTGGGTTGGAAACCAATAAATTCAGACCAAAAATTCCACTGATGCACGGCATTTGTCAGAAGCTTTGTAAATATCCATTCTTGCTGCGAATGGATGATAAGTTAGAGGCAGACCTCAAACAGGCCCGCCACAAACCCACACCAGCCTCCAACCACACATTTACAGCTGAAGTCAGCACTGAGTTGTGGATCTGGGTGTTACAGTCAGAGGCAGGGACTGGTGGATGCACAGTTACTTTCCAGAGGTGCTACAGTGGCCTGCTCAGGCCATGTTGTGGGCCCCATCGGGTCCACGAGGCGGTCGTTTGGTGCTTTCGTTGGTGTTGGGGGCTCCGCGAGGTTTGGTGCTGGGTTTCTTCTCCCTTGTGGATGGTCGAGTCTGACTGAGGGATGCTGCGCCGGCTGCTGCCTGAAGACCGCCATCAGGCTCCACAATCGTGTTTATAACTATAACAAGAACATTACAAGAATATTAAATAACACACCAGGGCCAATGAGTCTACTTCAGATAGAGTCTGAGATGATTTATAAGATGTACAGTGCTCAGCATAAATGAGTACCCCCCTTTAAAAAGTACAAATTTAATCAGTAGCTCAATGAACCTAAGAACAATTTCCCAAATTTTCACAAGGCTGAGTTTTATTGAACACTTGTTTAACTCCATAACATGGAAAGAAGGTTAATAATATAACTTCGATCACAAAATCTTCAGTTTTACTCAAATTGGTTAAAGCAAAAATGAATAGACCCCACAACAAAAACTACTACATCTAGTATTTTGTATGACCGCCGTGATTTTCAAGGACAGCACCAAGTCTTCTAGACATGGTATGAACAAGATGGTGACATATTGCAACATCTATCTTTTTCCAGTCTTCAAGAATAACCTCTTTTAGAGCCTGAATGCTGGACGGAGAGTGATGCTCAACTTGCCGCTTCAGAATACCCCACAAGTGTTTGACTGGGTTCAGATCAGGAGACATACTTGGCCATTCTATCACCTTCATCCTGTTCTTCTTCAGAAATGCAACAGTAGCTTTAGATGTGTGTTTTGGATTATTGTTGTGTTGGAAAAGTGCACGACGACCAAGTGCATGCAGTGATGGCAGCATCTTCACCTTCAGTATAGAGCAGTACATTGTTGAGTTCATGATACCATCAATGACATGCAGCTCCCCAACACCAGCAGCACTCATGCAGCCCCACATAAGGACACTGCCACCACCATGTTTCACTGTAGGCACCATGCATTTCTCTTTGAAATCCTCACTTTTACAACGCCTTGTCTCATCACTCCAGATTATAGAGTCCCCGTAGTCTTCATCTTTTTCAGCATGGGCCCTAGAAAATTCTAGGTGTGCTTTTTTGTGCATGGGCTTTAGGAGAGGCTTCCTTTGTGGACGATACCCACGCATGCCATTCCTCTGCAGCGTGCGCTGTATGGTGTCACGTGAAACGGTCACTCTAGTTTGGCTTTCTACTGCTTTAGCTAACTGAAGTGAACTTGCATGGCGATATTCTTCAACCCTTCTCATCAGAAGACGCTCCTGTCGAGATGTTAACTTCCGTGGATGGCCTGGACGTCTCTGTACAATGGTTGCACTTCAATCTTTCTTAAATTTTTGAATCACTTTTGCTACAGTATTTTGGCTGAAATGTAAAGCTTTTCTGATCTTCTTGTAGCCCTCACCTTTTTTTTTGTTGTAAAGAAATGATTTCCTTTCTCAGATTTTGTGACATTTCTCTTCCATGTGGAGCCATTGCTGACATCATGAAATGGAAAGGGATTTTCTTTGATAAAGAATCCCTTTCATAGTCACCTGTCTGCTGGACACCTCTTAAATGAATCATTAGACTCACCTGTGCTTGAATGCCTGTTAATTCAAATTTTGTAGTCTTTAGTGTGGCTTTTCTCCTAAGACTATAATTGGGGTGTCCTCATTTTTGCGACATGGGCTTGAATGAACTTTTTAGGAAAATAACTTTTTTGTGTGTGTAAATAAACAAAACTGGTTTGCAATCAATGGTCCACATTTGTGGGAGTATTTTGTATCTCATAGAAAATGTTGAAAGGAAACTAAAGGTTTTCTGACAAATGTAGTGGGGTGTACTCATTTATGCTGAGCACTGTACTCTCTGGAAAGTGCTGGACACAAAGAGAACATTAAAAAGAACCACAGTTAAAAGTTCAATTCAACTGAAAACCACAATGACGAGAGCCGTTTAATAGTTATGAGGTAGATAAACTCAATTCACACACACAGGAATGATTCGAGCACAACATTCAACAACTAAAACTGATTTTCTGTAAATAAATTCTACAATTTGGTATCCTAATTTAAAAAAGAAAAACCAATAATTTTGCTTTACTATATGTTCTGCTGAGTCAGGCACAGTAATGATATTTTAGCACTGAAATCACTTGAGTTAAATGAGCATAGTGGTGGATTAACCATTAGAAAAACATAAAACATGATAAATAATACTGTTAATTAGGGCAGCTGTGCCATAAATCTTACACTGTGTGGTGTAATAAATTTGTTGAGCACTGTTCATCAGCTCAATTATTAGGCAGTTCTGGAACTTCTTTGTCTTTTTCTTGTGATTTCACTAGAAGTTTTAAAAAAAACAAACCTGTCCCTGAATTTTTTTTGGATTTGACAGACTCAAACTGGACAAAACACACAAATCCAAACCTGAACGTACCTTCAAGCTGCCTCTGAACTCTCCTCAGCTCTTTCAAAATGGAGGTAATTTCCTGCAACAGGAAACAGAAAACTGAGGTTTCCAGATGTTCTATGAAGTTGCTTTTGTGCTGTTTAAATCAGCCAATAAATATGGAGATGAACCTTGTTGGAGGTCTTCAGGATGGGGACTTCATTTTCAGTATTGATCTTTGCCTCAATCTCCTCCCAGACCTCAGCCTTGTTCTGGAACAAAACTCTGAGAGGAAGACACTGTCGAGTCAGTGCCAGCATTCAGAAACCACAGCGTACAGCTCCCAAAAGTGCCCCTTACTATACCGAACCGGACCTGACACCTGAACACCTAATAAGCCTGATAGCAAGTGAAGGGAACAAAAGAAATCATCCTCGTTTTACATCTGTGGTCTGAAGTTTAAATCTTTGTCTCACTGTGAGGGGAAACTAGCTGTTCCCCCAGAGAGAGGCTGCACTTGGACTGAATGGTTTGGGTAAACGTGTTGAATGGGAGGAGGTGGTCATTTCTGTACAAACTAAAAATATATTGATGAAAAGGGATCCTTTTAAGCATCCCCAACATTTCTCAGGTTTGAGCTGCTACAGCCTCGGGGTGTCAGTGCTTCCTTACTTCATTTTCTCGGCCAGCTGCTCTGTGTTCTCCCGGATGGCCTGAGACAGCTGAGACACTGGATTCAGCATCAGGTTGTCCAGAATCACCTGAAAGAGTTCAGAGGGACATGCAGAGGGCAGGAGATGAAGCCAGCGTTGCACCGTCACGTGGCTCCAGCAGGTTACATCCTGATTTCCCAGCACACCAAAACTAACTGCAGCAGTTGTAGTCATGGTAACGATCACACTGGCTATGTTCACACGGCAGCTATGTAGGGTTTCATTACTTTTGCATGATGTTCTAGTCTTGAAACAATGGATAACAGTGCCTTTGTCTAGAGCCCCGCTTCAGTCTGACCCTTGCATGGTGCGAGCTGTAATGATCCCTTCAGCCTCTAGGTGATACTGTCTGAGCATATAGCACAGCTAGTCCTCAGCCTGACGCACCTGCCAGGGCTGAGAAATGAAGCTGGAGTTCCTCTGATGTCCAGCACAGGCAGCACTGAGTCAGTCTTTATGGACTCTGTGTTAAAACAAACACATTAATGCTGATAATTTCTCCTAAATAACACCTGATAGCAGATCACTTGGAGCACCTCCGTCCCATCCAAATATGGTCACTAAAGCAAGTGTCACAGCACGCACATCCATGTTTCAGGCTGCGGTGTACCGCAGTCCCAATTCCTCCGGAAGTAAGCAGACAACAATATTAAAACTAGTGCTCTCAGCCTTAATCTTGTTAAAATGAAGTTAAGGCCATAACCACATTAACGCAGCAAATCTCCGTTAGCGAGTTAACGCAGATAGACCTGTGTATGGGTCTGGACGGCGCTAACGCATTAACGAGCTAACCGCGCTAACATGCTAGCTCGTCATTTTAACAAGATTAACACTGACAGCACTAATCAAAACCTAAATATTACAGTCATTTTAGTGGTTATTAGTCCCAGCTAAAACAAAGCTAAATCTGGGTGTGACAATGGTCAGTGCGATGGGTTACACACAAACACACACACACACACACACGCACGCACACACACCTGGGCGTTTACTGCTCTGTTAATTACACATGAACATGACCGTGGCGCTACAAGCTGCAGTGTGAACGTAGCCTCAGAGGGATTAGACAGTGACCTCTTCGCGGTTCCACGGACGCCGTTGCTTAGAACTGGTCTCTGGCTCATTCATATTTGCGTCCAGGTCCGAGACAGCAGCAGAACCTGGAGGAACCTTCTGGTAGTTTAAACTGGCCTCAGGGATACGCTGGACCAGCTGGAAAGAGAATAAAAGGAGTCTGACTCCGGTGATGAAACCAGCTAGACGGTGATGGCGGTGCTCTGTGAACGCATGCACCAAGTCAACATGCAGCTGCAATGGTGGAGGCAACAGCGTGCGCAGTGAATTTCAGTGCTGCTGGGAGACAGAGCGTAACGACCACGGGGAGGCGAAGGAGGGCGGGAGAACCCTGCTGGGCACCAGCCACGGCTTCACGAACTGTTCCAAAACCAGTAACACCAGTTCATTCACGGTGGAGGCCGATGGACCCGATTATCATCAAAACCACTGAGTGAGCACCAAACAACACCGAGCAGGAACCAACACCATTGGGGCAGGTTCAGGTTCTTACATCTGATTCAGTCACCTGAGAGAGGGGACGGACTCTGTTTGAGACAGTTACGAACTTCAGAGCGTAGGGGTTTTATTCATCTGTTTATGAGGGCGCGTCAGACAGAGCACCCAATGATACGCTGTGGAAATTTGTTCTCTGATTCACACTCTGTGGTTTGTCATTAGCTCCTTTCCGCAGAGGACCACAGCTGGAGTATCTGGCAAATCTGTGAAACAGCCGATAGAAAACACAATAAAGCCTTAAATGTGGTGGCTGGCTGTGAAAAGTGAGAGAACAGGCTTCCACTACAGGGGTCGTGACTTCTGATCTTGTTTTTATTGGCACCTGGAGGGTGTAATGTGTTACAACTGCCAAAAGGTGGCAGTTAGGGCCCTACAGGCTGTTTGGTTGCCACTGTTAAACCATAGAATCCAAAGAAGCGTGCCGAGCTGTGAAACGTTTTTATTCTCATGTAGGGAGTGTGAAGTAGCACAAGTGAAGCCACCTGTCACCTGGCCTCAGGTCATATTCTTTATAGAGCTCTTTGCTCTCAGCAGACCCTCGGAGGGGCGGGGCTTCGAGTCCTTGCTCTGACACACCTCCTCACTTGTTCCAGCTCGGGTTTGTTCAGCACCGCCTCAGCAGTTTATTATCAATAATCTTTCAAAACATAAATAAAACAACACCAATGAGAAGGGAGTGTTAGGATTAGTGATGGCAGGGGAACCAATCACAGGGCACGAGGAGAGATGAGTCAGACACCTGAGATGGTCGGACCCCCCATAAGTATGGACAGGATGGCGTCTGCGAGCAGAACAGAGAAATGAATGATGAGTCGAAGCATGACGAAGGCTTTTCCTTCCAGTCAGACCAGCATCTGAAGTGGGAACACTGGAGTTTGCACTGACCTCTGCTGAGCTAATAAACAAAACCTGAAGACACTGCAACACAACACCTGCTGCTAACCCTGCCTGCTAGTCATTCTATGGCCTGTGTGTAGTGAGAGTGTTATGAGGGATTTTTGTGGCCCACCTCCTCCCTGGCGGAGATGGTGGAGGCTGGCGTGTTGGGCAGCGAGCTGGGAGACGTGGTGGTGCCCATGCTGGAGCTCGGCGAGTCCCCATCCCCAGCGACATCGTGGATTTCCTTCGCCAGGATGGCCAAGTCTTTAGCCAGGTCCTGACTGAGCCTGCAGGGGAAACGCAAACACATGATCACCATAGAGACGTGAGTGACATCACCTTACCGTGGCACACGTGTCAACATGTGACAGTGCTTTTACTTTGCAATCTCAGCGCTGTGCGTGGACCAGTTCTGGTACGGGTCAACGTCATTCTGATCCTCATCCTCCTCCATTTCCAGGGAGACAGACTTGGTCCTGGTGGCGGGCATCCGGTGGCTGTGTGGCGTCTGGTCAGAGGTGGAAGGATGGGAGGAGCGTTTGGCTCTGGAGATACTGCCACTCGTCTCGTATTCTTCATCAGAGGAAGAAGAGAAGTCCGAGCCCTTCTGTCTGCGACGGGAACCTGAGAACAGCCGGTCGTGAGAAACCGCAAACCTCAACTACGAGATTCTGTTTAACACGAGGTTCAGATAAGAGCCGACCATGACTTCCAGAGAGCACCGCTATGCCATCATTCAGTCAGAAACCTCAGACTCTCAGGTGAAGTTTGACATCTCAGGTGAAGTTTGACATCTGATCCTTGTGAGCCTTCATCAGTGATCACCCTGACCCTCGCATCTCAGCTCTTTGTGATCAAGGGCCAAAAAATGAAATTATTCAATTCACTTCAATACTATTTTATATTGTGCCAAATCACTACAGCAGCTGCACAAAGGCGCTGTTCATCATCCATCCAGAGCTTCTGTCTAACTCTACACAGCGTTAGGTTTTGCCTCAGAGCGTTAGTAAGCATGTTTGGATGGCTGTGGCTGTGACAGGACATCAGATTAAAGTGTCTGCAGGGCGAAGCTCTGGGCTGCAGCTGGTATCTGGGTTTGTGTCCTAATTCCTGTTCATAACAAGGGAGCTGATGCTGTTTCCACGGTAATACAAACAGACTCAGCAGCATCAGAAATCTGACGACATTTCAAATGACAGCAAAGGTCAGCAGATCCCACCAGAGAGTCTGTCCTCATGGAGGGTTTTTAGTTTAAGTGCTTTTTACCATGATTCAATTGAATTCAATTTTATTTCCATGACCTCGAAGCACTTTATGTTGTAAAGGTAAAGATGCGACAATGATACGACTCAAACAATTCAGCTCATTGTGAAGCTCAAAAAGTGAGACCGTGATGAGGAGTTTTCCCCGATTTCCTCACAATTGTCCTGATTCCTCTGAATCGTCTGTTTGCTGTTTCACACCAGTCAGCTGAGGCTGCTCGCACTAACTTTTGACAAACTCAGGTTTGCACAGACTTTTTCTTTTTTATCTAACACTTACACCTGGGACACATTGGACTTGCGGTTAGTACCTTGATAAGCTGGCATGAGCAATTGCTTCTCGGAGCTCTGAGACTTACACACACAGGTTGTTGAATTTATACATGAGGAATTTAATTGCACCAGTGAAATGAAATTATTTTCTCAGAATAATTTTTTGGCTCATGCATTTATCATGACATGATTATCATTCCATAATAAAAGGCCAAAAAATTCAAACTGACCAGTCCTCACCTGTTGGAGACGATGGAGCAACTGAAACACCTATGATTAATGCGATTAGACTGAGTGACGGCAGACTCGACCTCTGTCTCTCATCCTAGAACAACTCAGGAGGAACAACTCTGACTGAAACATCAGGAACCCCTCACATTCAGGGTCATTAAGGAATAACTCACTGCTGCCGGCGTACTTGGCTCCGCTCGAACGGGTACGTGTCAGAGGTTGCTTCGCTGGAGCTCCGCCTCCTCTGCTAGCTGCCTGCCGGTTGTCACCCGCCGATGTTTTCCTGGTGCTGACAACAGCCTCTGTGTTCCGGTTGGAGAAAGTGGGCCGTCCTGTGGAGGATGCCTCGGTATCGCTGGGGTTGGTGAAGGAGCTGGTCCTCTTCCTGGGCATCGCTAAGATGTCCAGCCTGGACAGCTTCTTCCCCTCAGTGGACACTTTGGGCGCTGCAGCAATATGGTCAGAATTCTGAGAGCCTCGGTCAGTCTCAGCACCTTCGTTATCTGAAGCTTCACCCAGACGTGCCCGCCGCAGCATTGAGGCTCGGGTCGGCCGTGGCGCTGACAGGCTGTTGGAGCGTGTCAGAACCTGCTGGGTCGCCGTCCTGGGCATCTTCCCATTGTCTTCTTTCTGAAGAGGGGCAATGAGTTTTTTGCTGCGGCTGGATGGACGGGACGTTTCGTGATCAGATGATGGGGTTTCGGTCCACTGCGGACCAGACCCCTGCTGGCCTTCAGACAGATCCAGAGAGCCACGATTCCCGGCACTGCGGCGCATCTGGAAGCGCTTCGCTGCCTCTGCCTTATTTGCTGCACTGGCAGTGATCTGGTTTCGGCGTTTCTCAGAAAGTCGCTCACGGGCACTGAGCTGCTGTCCCTTCTCTTGGATGGATGGACTAGAAGAGGACCTCTCCTTTTGAAGGCTGCTGATGGGAGGGTGCTTTTTAGAAGTTGAGCTGACTGGAGTGTTTTTGCTACTCACTTGACTCACCGTGCTAGCCGTGTCAACATCTGACTCACCAGACAGGGAGTCGTCCATGTGGCTGGACGAACCCTCCTTCTTTGAGCTGCGACCTGAACCAGAGGAGGGGAACTTGGCATCCAGAGAGGATAGAGTTCCTTCCTGAAGGAAGGACTGTGTGTCCTGGATGTTCTCCTGCCTCTGCTCCATGTCTCTGATGGATGGGTGGCTGGAGATGTGGGGAAGCTTCTTCATCTGGACAGTGTCACTGGGCTGGTCTTTGGTGAAACTCTCCTGACGGATGAAGGATGATGTGCAACTGTCTTTGGTTGGAACTGAATCTTTGTCCTGTGTTTGGAGGTTTGGAGCAGAGCTGTTGGGTTTGACTCCCGTCCTCTTGGGTTCGTATCCACTCAGATGTCGGATCAGGACAGTGGTAGGGGGAGTTTTTGCTGGGGGGTCTCTTGTCTTCTCAGACTGTACTGGGCTCTGGGCTTGCTCAGGTTTGCTGGGATGGTCTTCTGAACCAATGTAGAAGCAGGTGGATTTGGAGGATGGAGACACTTTCTCCTGACCTCTAAGCTGAGGACCAGTGATCACTGGAGATACAAATGCAGTCTTGACCTGATTTGTCCTCATCTTCTCTTGAACAGGTCCATCATCTGAGCGACTGGCATCACTCAGGCTGTCTGGGTCCACATCATCCTGAACGGACAGGCGCTGGGTGGAGTCAACTGAGTGGGAGGGACCAAAGGCTCTGTCCAGAGGTTCTTGGCTTTGGTAAGATTCATGGCGAATCATGATGCTTGGGGTGACACCGTCTAGCTTTTCTGGAGGCACTTGGGGCAGCAGCCTTCTTGTCCTGGAGCTGTGGCTGGACTCTGACTCAGAGTTGTCGTAGCTGTAGTTTCCCATCGAAGGGCTCATGAGACGTGAATCTGCAACACAAGTTTAGTCACGTCAGCATTTTATATGAGTTGCTTTAATGTTGCGTAACTACTTTAGTTTTAAAACAATAAGCGGAGTAAAAATAAGACCATGGGTCCATTGCTCTGAACTGTGTATAGATACATTTATTGTTCACTTACAAAACTGCAAATTACTGATAAATTCAAGATTCCAAGTAGACAAACGGAATCACATTTGGAGGTCCATAAACATAAAGCTGAGATAACAGCGGCTCTGTGCTCTTTAAACATGTTTAAGGTATTTTTAACAAACCTCACCTTCTAGACATTCTACTTGAGGTGGAGTGGAACCAGGTTCGGCGTAGCTGTCTGCTAGACTGGCCCAACGTGAAACCCACTTAGGGCCTTCCAGACATGCAGCATGAGCAGCTGGAACCTGCAGAACAAAATATGATGACCAACACCATTTTCAGGAAGATCAGTGGAAACAAACGTCAACATTTACATTCATATCACAAGAAGAAATAGGGAATAACAACATGGTTGTGCAGGCACTGGGATAACAGTGTGCTACAAAGGTGTTTCTCCAGGTTGTACTTCAAAATTTTCACTTTTTTTTTTACCTGTATGGGGCCTGTTGAAGGGCCGCTGATAGAAGATGGGATAAAGCCATGCAGTGAGTCCACAGTGCTACCATCAGTAGGCAGGTTAGCATGCTCATCCTTTCCATCATTTATCACAGGTCTATACACACCAGTGTTCACACCACTGTACTCTGGAGAATCGAGGACACCAAACACCTGTCAGAGCACAGGACATGCATGAGGACGGGCAGAAAAAACAAACAGGAAGAAATAGGAAGGATACAAGGGTCAGTGCATCACTAAGAGATACTGTTTAGATAGGCAACATCGGAATACTTCAAGATACCCTAGGATCATTTCTAATTTCATAAACATTTTTCTATCTGGAAGATTCGGTGAAGACAAGACAACAAAACTGAGATAATCAGCAATGACACAAGGGTTTGAATACAACATTACATAAGATGTGTTATTTTATCAAAGTCCACATCCCTGCTGAAGAATCATACGGCACAGCACGTGTGCTGTGCTGCAGTTTTCCTGCACTCACCACCACTTAAAGACACCCTTTCACGAGCAGCAGGAACAATGTATGCTGCCTCACCCCACCACTATCACAAAGATCTTATTCTTACTGTGTTTTCACTGGGACTTCACCTGATCGATCATGTTACGAGCCTCTTCCACCTCTTTGTCCTGCGACTCCGTCTCAATGGTGTAGGTCCCAGCATCGCTCAAGCTGTCGTCTTCCTCGTTCCGGGCCATCCTCTGGGTACCTTTGACATCTCCTCCACTGACGGCCATGGGCGGCATGGTGGAGAAGGGAGGTCCAGACTGATGTACCGGAGCGGCAGCTGGGCCTGGAATGTTGACTGGGACTGGGGTCTTTGAGATTGCTGGAGGCTGTAATGGGGAGGCAGGGTAGGAGACAGAAGATGGAGCTGGAGGTTCTTGTGTGGAGAGGATCCTTGTATGATGAGGCGATATCATCACAGGAGGTGCAGACATTGGTGGAGGAGTTGTCTTATCCCTGGTTGGGGAGGAGTCATTACGACCCGAATCCTTCAGGAATTCAGCAGCAAACTCCTGGGCAAGCTTTGACTTCTTCCCAACGCTGCCGAAAGGTCGGATGATGATGCCCGATGAGGAGCGAGACGAGGAAGCCGACGAAGCCGCCTCCCCCTCAGTCTTTTCTCTCTTCAGAGAGCTTGACCTCTGAGGGCCACCATGGCTCTGACTCTTCAGAGGAACCGTCACCTGCTGTGTGGGAGGGATGAGGCCGTGCACAGATGCTGGCCTCTCGCCGCCTTTCCGCCGCTCCAACTTGGCTCTGAGTGTGGAGTACGAGTCAGCATGGGCGGGGTTGTGGGTGAAGGACTGAGAGCGCTTCTTGCGTGGGTTGTCATCAAAGAACTCAATGATGAAAGCTTGCTGAGTGAGGTGCTCGGGGGGCGCCTGTTTGGGAAATTCGGTGGGTGACAGAGCTTTAGGAGGACTCTGGGACAGGGGTCTCTCAGGGGCCACGGGTGAGGCAGAGGCCGGTCTGGGTGGAGCATGCTGCAGTGGTTGGTGTAGCTGACTATGGATGGACTGGCCTGATTGGATGACCTGCTGCGACGCCTGGGACAGCTCTGATTGCATAGAGTGCTCAGTGCGGACCGAGTGGTGGGATTTACTCCTTCCTTTGAGAACTGGGTCCTCTGAGTCACTCTGGGTCCCATCCTCATGATGGTGACCTAAAGACAGGAATAAAGATGTCAGTGAGTACTAGCTTTTGAACTTTGAAGCTCAATGGTCACAAGTGTATGACTGAAGCTTTGATAGCCTCAAACAAAGACACAAGTTTAGTGGGGTCAGTAAAATCAGAGAAATATCAGAAGATTCAGGGACCTTGTGTCAATAAATTGTTAACAATGAAGTGCTGGACAGGTTTTATCACCAGCAGAAAGCATAATCCCCGATTACCTGTGAATGACAAACACAGGTATGGTCCGGAACACAGGTGCAACTCTGACCTTTCAGGGTCTTGATATTCATGGCAAGGTCACTCTTGGTGCTGTAAACGTCTTCAGACGGTGGGCGTCTCTTCATCATGCTTACATCACTGTGGACCAGCCAGTCAGCCACCTTGCTCTCTGCTGACATCACCTCTGCAGGTGTGGCCATGATGGCTGTCTTGGTGGGTGTAGCCTGCAGCTTCCTCTGGCGAGTGGAGAACTTGGTGATGTGGTCTTTAATCTTGATCTTCCCAGGCATGCAATCATCAAACTCAATGGTAAAGGAGGCATGGCTCTGAACGACAGGTGGAGTCGGAGTGGGAGGCGAGAGTGGGGCCGGGGGCGTGTCAGTGTCCTTGGTGGGGATCTCATGGAGCTCCGCGCCTGAGGACTTAGGGTGCTGGAAGTCCTTGGTGGGGATCTCAAAGTAGCTCGGCTCACGGTGGTACGAAGGGAAGGCGGACTTTGGCTGACAGTCTGACAGCGATGCAGAAAATTCTGGATCTGCAGAGGGAGCGTCTTTCTGAACATCTGACAGAGGCAAAGAGACGACATCTCACCAACATCATCAATAACGCACCATCAGCTCAATTTAGCTTTATTTATACAGCACCAGTTTACTGCACTGCTCCACTTTATTAAGGTGTGCGTACCTGAATGTGGCTCATCGCTGGTTTGGACTTTACTCCCATAATCCTCCTCTCCCCACCAGGAAGGCTGGCCATACAAAGGAGTGGGCCGACACACCGGCGCCTCTGTCACAGAAACGTGTGATAGGTGAAACTGACGACCAATCAAAGTGTCCCGAGGAGCGTGAACAAACGACTTTCTGGTTTGTTACTAAAACATTTTCCTGAACGAGCAGATTTATAGTAAAAAATACATCAGAACAAACAGCGACACATCATCTGCGTACAGGAACACACAGCGGACAGACTCCTGATCCAGTACTTTTTAGTATTACATTATGTTTTGTACAGTGCAGTATATTTTTGACCCTGTGTGATGTCAAAATTTTGTGTTATTGCTTGTATTACGCCCAGTATAGGGCTTTGGACCGTGATGTCACGGGGGGTGGGCGTGGAAAGGATTTTGGCCCGATCCGCCATTTTGGGGGTCTAGCGCAAGTGAAAAGGGAGCGAAGTCACACACAACAGCCATGGTTCGTATTTGCTGTGTGGTCGGCTGCAATGTTCGATCACACGACCGGCAAGAGAATAAGGTTGAAAATGGTTTATCTTTTCATTCTTTCCCAACCTGGAAGCAACATGAGCAGCTCGTGTATTGATGTTACCAAACGAAGGCGTCTAGCCTGGATAGCAGCTGTGAGACGAGCTGACGTGCAGCTCTCTTCCATCTCCAAATATCTGTTGGTGCTCCAGACATTTTCATTCTGGTAAGTTCTAAATATGTTCATATCACTCTTTATAGCCTATTAGTATTATTTTCTATGCGCTCTGAGCTCATAGCAAATTAGAACAAACATCCTACTGAGTGATTTTGCAGAACTACCTTCTATTTATAGAGATGCTAATTATTTGGCATTATTGCAGCAAACCAGCCTATGAAATGGATGAAACATCGTGACTGGGTTCCAGCGCTACACAAGGGACCTGCTGCAAACATACCACCATGCCAATCAGATTCTTCTTCCATGTGAGGGTGAAGAGTTGACCCTTCTGGATAAGATGGTGAAGGTTTGCTGCGTTTTGGTGAACAGTGTGATAATAAAACCAGGGAAGAATGAAACCTGCTCCTGTTAAATATTCTTAAGTCTTGTGCTGTTAAAATTGCTGTATTTTTTCAAAAGATACAGTAAATAAAGTAATGTTAGTAGTGGGTGATGTCATGTAAACACTCATGATTTTGTGTAAACATTTTGTCATTTGTAAACTATAAATGACATGGATTCTACATTGTAACTGATGTGATGTTCTATAAGGTGGTTTCAATAAAATAAAAAAAAAGAGGCAAAAATTAGTTTGTTTCTTTATTCAACTTTTGAACAGTGGTACTCAGTCAGTATATATTCAGTAAATGCAAATTATTTACACGGCAGTGCACTACAGGCATAAATGTAGACCCCTAGATAAAACATTATGGGTCATTCCCACAACCCACAGCTGTGTTCCAGCAAAGTATCCAATAGCAGTGACAACTCCTCCAAAGTAGCAGCTGGGATTTTTCTGTTTTGAGGACGGCTCCTTTTACCTGTCACTACAGATGGTCTGTTTAGGTTTTGATCAAGAGCCTTTTTTTGGGCAGCTGAAGAGGAGAAGTCTATCTTATGGCCAACCTCTGGCTGTATCTTGGTCATATTACCCAGCAACACCCAGTATGCAGGTTCATCTGTAACAGTCCTTGTGCCACGGATCAACACTGTTGCTTCTACATTAAACAGAAGAGCAGCGACATGGCTGCAGGTCTCTGCGACTCCGGCCTTACAGCTGCAGTGGGCGGCTTCAACCTTCCCTGTGATGCTCACGGTGACCCATGGCTGCAATGCTGGTTCATTCAGTCTTTGAGAGTGCAGGACCTGAAACACACACAGACAAAGTTCATTTAAAGACAAGAACTATGAGCCAAGGCCGACGTAAAGGTGTTTTATCTACTTTATCATAAATGTAACAAAGTGTTTAGAAAGTTAGCACATAGATGTAATTTTTCATTTCTTTATGTGTCCATCAAAAGAACGCTGCATGTTATAGTGTAAATCTGCCTGCAGAAAATGAACCTAAAGTATGTACCGGTAATGCAAGGATCTCATCACTTTAGAGATGGAAAAAGCATAAAGTGACAATTATGAATCCCTTAATATGATAAGGAGATTCTGCAGGTCATTGATCAATATATAAAATTAAAATAAATTGTATTTTTAGTGACACAAGATACAAACATGGAAGCAAGATGTTTAATTAGGATTATTTATAATAAATATGAATAAGTTAGTGCAATTTCTTTAACCATAAAGAATAACAATCCTTCAGGAGAATGTCTCATCAATGCACTGAACTCGCAATGTTATCCACCTAACAGCCTCCACATGTTCTCACTGTAATTTCCCCTCATGAATGAATTTATGCTGCACTAATCTGAATCTTTGCAAGGAAATCAAACGCATTTCACTCGCAGTACTCGAGTTGACTTACCTTTGCTTGAATGACGACTTGTACGCGCTGATTCCACAGATAAGGTACGAAAATATGTCAGGCTACGTCAGTAGCGGTTGGTCTTCAGGGTTTCTACTCCACGGCCCTATTTCATACTGGTCCACATTTCCAATGCACGCTATTTTCTGCAAGTACCGCTGCTTCGCCTCTGAATGAAATCGGTCTCTATACAGTTCATTCTCTTTTGAGCTGCTTTTAAGCATCTTTCTTGTAGTCGTCGTTCCAACACAGTGTGTTTGGTTTGATTCGTAGACCCCGAAAATGGCGCTGCGCTCCCATAATGCATTGCGGCGTGACGTCAACTCCAAAGCCCTATTGTTAGGAGTACATTTGATACACAGTATATTTACTGCCAGTACTGTTGCTGTATTATTGTTACCCTGTGTGAGGCTCTTGGTACTCTGCGCTTTCTCGCCTCTCGCCCGCTCGTCCACGTCGCTCTTCTTCCCCTCTGAAGGCTTTAGGCTCATCTGCAGCTGACTGCTGTACTTCTCATGCTGAAACAGAAGAACGAGGCAAACGTACTCACGGTACTGCATGTGCTCACGGTACTGTACATGCTGTGTGTAGTCATGAGAAATTCATGACGCTCTGAGTAGTTTTGGAAATGCAAACTAAATGCAGTTAAACAAGGAAATTAAATAACACCCTCTATGCAGTAATTTGTACAATAGAAAACACACACCCACAAACACCAACCTTTAGGGCCTCCTCTGGGACTTTGTGTTGACTTTTCTCCAGAACGTAGACGTGAGAATGTGAACAACAGCTCAGAAAAATATTAAAATTATCACACACACACACACACACACACACACACACACACACACACACACACACTGACATCCACACACACGCACAGAAACACACACACGCACACAGACACGCACACAAACAGTGCGTGTGTGCGTCTGAAGGATATCGTATCCGAAGCGGATGATGTCGGACAGTTTGAGGGTGATGTAGGTCTGATCAGGAATCCGAAGGTCGTTTACAAATGTCTGCAGGAAACAAACAAACAAACAAACAAACAAACAAACAAACAAACGTCCAGGTGAAACTTTCTGATTATGATGTTGAAGTCCACTCTGAAGGTTTTCACTCTTTTGTGATTTTACAGTTCTTGCCTGTTTAAATGAAAGTGGAATTAATTTTTTTTAAGTTAATAAAAAAAAAAATCTTTGTACTGTAACCTGTGACTTTAGGCATCACCACCCCCCACCTGTGTTTGCTGCTGATTGGTGGATACCTATGATAATGTACTGATATGTTGTGTATGGCTCACCCCATTGAGGCTGCCCAGGTCCTTCACCAGGTGTTCATCAGTGGTCGGGTTGTAGTTGATGACAGCATGCTGTTTGTCCACACTGCGAGACTGAGACACACACACATACAACTCTTTTTGCTTACTTTCACTGCGACTCAAACAAGACACCATTACAACTTCCTTTTTCAGACCAACCTAGAGGGAGGCAATTTCTACTAACCCGAACACCTGCACAGGTCAGCCTCACCTGAAGCATCAGCTCGCAGTCCTCTCGGCCCACAAAAATCATCTCTCGGGGGAGGCGGTGTCGAGTCCCCGAACTGCTTACCAGGAACCAT